CGAATGTCAGTATGAGAAGCTAGCATGATTGGTTTGCTTGGAGCATATGCTCTTCATGCCAACTGAAGGATGATGGGTAATCCACCTCGTCCTATTCAGTTGTGCTTGGTGGTGGTGGGAAAGAAGACAGTCGGCTCTTAATAGCTCCTTTTGTGTTCATATGTAGCATGTATGTGTTAAATTCATTAAATGCAGAGTTATTGCAGTACCATGACCATATTTTACAGTATGTGCAGGGCCTTTTGAGTTGGTGCTTTCTGTGTGGATTCCATGTTTATGCAGTGGCATGTGTCGGTCACGTTAGTTAATGTGTTGGCGTGTGCGTCTGTGTGGGCGTAATCGTGTTATTTAGAGGACAGCGTCACAAGTTTCCTCGCATGATAAACATGTGCGGCTATTTTGCCACTAAAACCTTTCATATGTGGTACTGTATGCGGCCTATATGCCTTCTAAGTAATCTACCAAACACCATTCTTCTTCAAGTTTGTGATATCCTTTTATACCTTTTTTTTTTTTGTGTTTTTCCCATTTTTACCAACTGGCCTCGGCCTTCAGTGTCACTGCTTCTCTTCAACTTTTGGACTCTGACTAGCACGCAGGATTTATGATTGAAATGAAAGGAGGAGGGAGATGGGGGGGGGGACGCTTCACAGATGTAAATTTCTCTCCAGGGCAGGCTTTTCCTGTTATTCGTAGCCTCCTCCACTCCTGTCCCTGTGGTTGGCTTCGCTTGTTCGTCTCATTACCCCGAGCGCGTGGCGCTCCTTCGCTTGCTGGCGGCACGGCTTTCTTCTTCATTAATTGGGTTTCGTTACATTAAGCCCCCTGGCCAAGGGGCCATCCTGCCAATAAAACATTCCATTTTTAGCACTCCACTCGAAGCTGGTGGGGTTCAACCCGCTCCGCGAATGGTAATTGGTTATTTATTTAAGCTTCCTCAGGTTGGTCTCCACTGGTTTTGGTAAAGAGGGAGGGGAGGAGGGGAGGTACGGTCCCTTTTCTTTTCCTGCGCTGTGAAGCTACTATGGGAGAATGTTTGCTCACTTTTGTTGGGAAAAGGACCGACAACTTGCACACAAACACACCTGGGAGTGCACACCTGGTCTGAGGTTGAGATCTGTGCTGGGCACACCCTTGCTTCATACTCCAAGTTTTGGATTTAAAGAGGCTTTCCGTCTGTAATCTTGCCTTCTTTATGATCACATTGTCGGTGGAAACAGTAGCCAAAGATGATATTTAAACAGTCATAGAAGGGTGTGTGCTCTCTGCCAGTTATTGTAAATGATTTCCTCAGGCGGTGGGAATCATGTAATTTTATTGGAAATGTACGGCAAACCTTTTGATGATACTGTTTGCTAACAAAAAACAGTTTCTTGCCTCAGTTTATTTTTTTTCTCGTCTGTTATCCCTGGCCTTATTTTTTTGATGCATCCCTTTTCCTCCAGAGTGCAGAAAATCCTATGAGTAGGTGAAGAAGGGTTTTGGGGTGAGAAGGGCTTCTTAGTGAAAAGATTTAGCAGCATGGGAATCCATCGCCACCACTTGAGCTGCCATCTCCCCAGCTGTTTGTGAAACACCTCACATGGTTTCTACACACTTGATTGTAGCTGCAGGCACGAAGAGTCCTCATTGCATATAAATTACAGAAGTGGGAAGTGATTATTATAAAATTCCCGCTTTCCCTTTTTCCCACTCCACTCTGCAGAAGTGGTATAATTGAGTGGAGTACAAAAGCTGTGCTGTGAGGGGAGAGAAGGGAGAGAGATGCTAAAAAGGCAATATTGCGGGGATAGTTATTGCATATACCACATAGACATGCGTACAAACACACACTCATGCTCAGAAACCATGGCAGGATATTGGTGGAATCTGACAAAATACAAGCTCGGAGACACCGGCGTGCCGTCAGTAAAATCCTCCCTCAGACAAAAAACAAAAAAAGAAACAAAAAACGAAATGTCCCATTTCCCTTCCCCACCCCCAATTTCAGACAGCACGCCAAGTCATTGGCTCCCCGTGCTGAAACACACTGGAGTGTCTCCTCCATGGAGGGCTCCCTGCCAGCTCCAGTTCCGCACAATGAATTTCTCTTAAAACCACATCTGAGAGGTTCTTTAGAAGGGCCGGCCAAGCCTGGATATGAAATTCCAAATGGAACGTTTTCTTTTCAATCCTCGCCGCCTCTCCTCTTTCGCTCTCCCTGAAAAATATGAATAGAAAGATCCTAAGCCTATTATTTCTCCTGTACAATAAAAGGGACCTCCAATATGGCCGGCCTCCATCGCAACACCGCTGCTGCTAAGGACCTTTTTAGAGTCAGGATTGGGATGAGAGGGAATCAAATTGCAACGACGTGGCATGAACCTTATGGTTGTGGTCACTTGAGTGTCTCAAACAACTTCCTCCAGGAAAGTGGTAAAGGGGTGTCATGCTTTTGGTGTGTAACCTTGCCAAGATCTGCAAAGTGGGTGCAGCAAGCCAACAAGTCTCCACCTGGAAGATTTAAAATGGTGGCTCCATGACGGCTGTTAGCCCGTAATGACTAACTTTAAAAGAGTGAAAGAGTCAAAACATGTGAGGATTTTACTTAACCCCGATTCAGTTTTCCCCATCATGAAAATGTAAGAATGTTTAGTAAGATATGAAGATGTAAGACGCCTAAATGACAACTCATTGCTCGTCCTTTCTTCACAAAGTAAACCGTGGTTAGTTATGGCATGCAGTTTATGTAAATGTGCACCCAATAGCCATAAATTCGGTATTGGTCACAGAGGTTTTACCCTGGTGGATTTTGCCACAATGGAGGCAGTTTATTAAGAAGTTGAGAAAAATGGGATTTGACAGCTGTAACTGGGAAAAGCATAAAAGAGGGTTTCTCCTCTATGTCGGAAGCCTCTAGCTTTCTGGGGTGCTAAGGAGTCAATCACCTTTTATTTCTTGCAATATCGTAGTGTGTGTGTGTGTGTGTGTGTGTGTGTGTGTGTGTGTGTGTGTGACCAAGAGAGACTAACTTTTGTTTCCACTGGCTTTTCCTTTGTGTTCCCTCTGCTACAAGTTGGAGAAGACTTCAAGTTAAAATGATAATCCCTCAGGTTCTTATCTCATTCCCACAGGATAACAAATGGGAGTGGAGAGGCGTAAAATAATATGGGCGAGAATGCTATCATTTAGCCCCTGGTGTAGGCATGTCCCAGCCACCCTGGCCCTGGTTAGCCCTCCTTTAGGGTTAGCAGCCCTTTACTAATAAGCCCTCCCCTTTGTAGGATGAGGTCTGACACTCCCACACTTGCAGATTATCCCATCACCTTTGACTCTTGTTGACCTGAGTCAAAGAACCAAACTCACCTGGGCTAATGTGAAAAGCCTCTGCATGATGGCTTTATTAGTCTTCTGGCAGGATTTGCTTGTTTTTGCTGAATCGGGGCAACGTGTGCAATCTCAAATGGTGCAGTGTGGACTGTGCCAGATGATAGCTTATGAGGCTCATATCAAGAGACGAACTGGGTAAGAAATTGGCCTTGGGAGATGTGAGATTCCCACCCCGATAAAGAGTCTGATGCGGATGACGCGTCATGTGGTCGAGGATACTGAGAACTTTTTCCACACACACACACACACACACACAGACGCCACACATACTGCTCTTTTGTATTCCCAGAAGTGGGGGGGTGGGGGGGGTCTTAAGTTGAGACCGGTGCCAGTCTGCGAAAGGTTCGGGGAAACGCAGACATTCCAACCACCCTTGTGTCCAAGGGGTTTTGTGTATACTGGGTGTGTGTGTGTGTGTGTGTGTGTGTGTGTGTGTGTGTGTGTGTGTGTGTGTGTGTGTGTGTGTGTGTGTAGATGGCCACCGGTCACCACTTAGCATTTCAGGAATGTCACCTTGGCGGACACCTCCCTAGGACAACGAGGTGAGAGCTAATAAAGAACAGTCCCTTGATTATTTCGTCTCTTCAGAAATGTATGCTCAAACTAAATTTAGATGACTGTCTTCAACAACATTATTAATCAGGTGACTGTTCCCCGTGAGAGCCGCTGATTACAATTTCATGAAACTCTTTGATTCGAAGCGTGTGGGAGCCGTTTGGTGAAAGACGTTTCTCACCCAACGGTGAACTGATGTCTCTCCGATTAGCCATATATCCTGTGGAGGTGATATTTTGACTCCAGCTCAGCTCTGGGCTCAGATTGTGAATAGTAGATTTAGCATGGCTAAGCATTACCATGTGTTCAGTGCTGCTGAAGCATGTAAGCGCTGTTGGCTGGGGGTTGGGGCCGGGGTTTTTTGGGCCTGGCTGCGTCTATTTTAGTTGTCAGGAGGCAGGTCTCTCTGAGTCAGCCAGGGATGGGGGGCCTGTGGCCAGGCCACTGTTGACGTGATTACCCCTGCATTAAGTACCGCTGCAGACATCTGTCTCACTCGCGCTCACTCTCCATAGCCAACCCCCCTTCTCCTCCTCCTCCATCCCTCATCTCTCCTTCCCCCGGCTCTTGCTCTGTAATGAACTCCCCTTATTCACCAGCTAATGACTGCCTTTGATCTCCCGCCTAAGACCTCTGCTCTAACTCTACCCTGCAAATCTCTCTTTTCTCTCCCCTCTCTGCTCTATCGCTTGTTTCTTCCTATTCGCTCCAGCTCTGTTTAGGTCTTACTCTCTTTTGCTGTCTCAAGCATGCTCATGCACATCTTTGACTTGTTTTTCCTCTTTCCTTCAGGGAATAGGGTTTTCAGTCCTGCTGACCTAGGCTAAACAAAGTTTTGAGGTGCTGTGCTCAAGCTACTAAAAGAGAAGAAATTTAAGAAATGTTTTTTAGTTACTTTTTCCCTTCACCCACATCTACAACGAGCCAGAGCACCCACACTTTATGTGCCGTGCCAGTGTCCAGATCATGTGGTAGGGAACAGGGCCATATTTGCGCATGAAATAAGGCAGTTGAAGCTCACATATAAAGTCGTCATCTTTCATATTGTTTAAGCCTTCTTGTATTTTTCTTCGCAGTCCAACAAAGTCCCTGTGGTGCAGCCGTCCCATGCAGTCCACCCACTCACCCCACTGATCACGTACAGTGACGAGCACTTCGCCCCAGGATCCCATTCCGGTCATCACCCCCAGGATGCCAACAACAAACAAGGTAGAGAGCAAGCAAATAAATCAGAGCAACACACAGTGACACAACACTCACAGCCGGCACAGTGGCGGTAGGGTTGCTGTAATACAACTTTGTGAATAATCCTTGTTCCTTGTGAGTCATCCTTTTGCTTTACAAATTCAAACTACTGGCAATGTTTTTGGAATAATCTGAAGTACTTTTAGTAAGCGAAAGAATAACTAATAATTAGGCCGATACAGATCTGATACCAGTGCTCCCAAATTTAAAATCTGTATGTCTCCCTGCTTGAAGCTGAGATAAGGCCAGAGATTGCGGTGGAATTAAAAACTTTGTTTGGTGGAAAAGTGATAGTGGAAACACAATGATAACATCGACTGTATTTAATCAATCACATATTGGCAGATACCTGATCCACTTATTAAGAACAGTAACGTCGCTGATACTGTCCGGATCTCGATCATTATAATGATATTCTAATAGGCTAGATTGTTCGTTACTCCCAGTAGGGCTTTAATGGAGAGATTTTACAGTACCATCTTTGTCAATATGCATCGTTGAATTTTATTTGAACCGGCAATCAAAAGTCTTGGAGAATCGGGGTTAAACAGGTGCATCCCTACTGCAACAAAACATTACTTTGCAATGGGATGTAGTTTTTGCATCATTCCAACCTCCATGAGTCAGTAAGAACAACAGCAACTTAATCTGATTGGCAACTTAAAAGGGTTACCACTGGCCTTGATTATGCTTTTGCGAAAAACAAAGTGTGATTTTTTTAAATTTAAAATATTACAATATGCCGAATGGTGAACTTGAGTCTGCATTAAACTGAACCTGAATACCTCAGGTATTTTTTTCTTTTACATTCCTACCTGCCAACACTGTCAGCAATCAATAGAGACACAAACCAGAGAGTGTCACAGCAAAGTCTTCCTTTCCATCAGCTTCCTTCACATGAACTCATTTGAAGCAGCCTGTGGGACGGTGCACTGAGCTCTGCTGCCCTCTTCCCCTGCACTATTTGCCTCAGTAACAACATCAAGCCGCAGCTCTGACAGCTGCAGAGGAGCTCCTCAGCACTGCACAGCTGGAGACTTTGGCAGCTTCTCACAAACGCAAAAGACGTGGGCCCCTCCATAGTTTTGTCCCGCACCTTTTCTCTTCTCCTGGCTTTCTTCTCCTGCGGCTGCCAGTTGAAAGGAGGAGAGGGATCAGACAGGGTGTAGGCGATGATGAAGATGATGATGAGGCTGGGAGGTTCTGAGGGACCAGCTATAAATAACAATGTGGAACTGAACACAAGAGTACACAGCGTAGTGAGATGAAGGGAGAGAGACATATAAAGAAAACTGTGCTCCATATACGTCAGAGGAATCATGCATCAGACACATTTTGTTGAATATTTTTCTAATGGAAGTAGCAAAGAATTGTGTTGACATGCAGTTGAGCAATGAATACACTGTGCGCACATGCATGCTTTTGAATTTCGGAAATTTGTTGTCGTGTTGTACAATTCATGAGGTAATGCTCTCCATTTTACCGTTCATATTGGTATTGCTAGTCCTTACAGATCCACCAAGTTTCTGACAAAAACTGAAAGACCCCGGAGGTCTTTTTCTTACTATAATTGATCTTTGCACTCGCAGCCCAACAGAAATCCATGTCCAAGCGATCCAGTTTCAGAATTAGCTGCAAATGATTTCCCCAGGCATATTCATGTGTGTGTAAACCAGCAGGCCTAAGCTGAAGATGCTTAAAATGAAATCTCTCTTATTTTCTCTCTCTCTCTCTCTCTCTCTCTCTCTCTCTCTCTCTCTCTCTCTCTCTCTTTCTCTTTCTCTTTCTCTTCTCTCTCTCTCTCTCTCTCTCTCTCTCTCTCTCTCTCTCTCTCTCTCTCTCTCATATCGACCAATTGCTGCTCTGCCTTCCTTAGTGGGCTCAGACTTTGATCTGCTCGTTAATTATGAAAAACAATCATGGATTTTCTCATTATGAGCTCTAATATGCACAGGGCTGGATGGAAGGTCGAGCAGGAGGGGGGCCGGCTTTGAACATTTTACATCTAACCCTTATTTAAATTTCTTTTAAAAAAATGCATATGACATGCGAAACAATAACTTGAATATAGATTGTTTTCAGGTTTTACAGTGTTGCTTGTTTTGGGAGGAAATGCGATTGTGAAGCTGTGCTGTGTGTCGACGGGAACGTGTGAAATAAGGGAGTGAGTAATTAGGCACCTTAGGGGTGTGAGTGACAAGGTTAACACGCTGGGGCTCTCTCCTCCTCCCTCGTCGCCTCGCCCCTTGCCTCCTTCCCTTCTGCCCTCAGGAGGACCCTTAGGAGTGTTACGTGGTGGATTAGTGGGCAGGGGGTAGTGCTATGCACGCTATGAATCCAGCATTGCAACATTGGCTTTGGAGATATAAGCCCCCTTGCTCGCTCTGCTTCTCTGAGGAGGGAGGCCCCTTCAGACCACAGCCTGGAGAGAGAGAGGAAGAGAAAAGATAGAGCCAGGGAGAAAGGACTGGCTCCAGCAGGGATTAGAAGATGGTGCTAATCTGGAGGCTTTTGCCCTCTATTCTTTGTGTGTACGTGTGTGTTTGAGCACACATGTAGGCGCATTGCACTTACATTTCATAATATCGACACATTTTAATGCTTCTTATTACTTGCTCTGCTCTAAAAAAACAACAGATAGATGTAAAACAAGAATATTTTGTTACATTTTAGTCGTCTTACAGCCCTGTTCCCAGTTAAGTCCCCTTCCATCTATCTTAGACAACTTCCTATAAAAAGGGACCCCTTGACCTTGAAACCCAGCAGGAGTAGGCGAGCTGGAGATGGAGCAGCTTAGTCCCGAAGATCCACGGACAGTTAGTCCAAGTCAATCCTGTGTCTACAGGGAGAGCCGCAGCCTGTGTCACAAAGAGGAAGCCTCAATTAACCAGCTTAAAGATGCTGAAACACACTGAAAGGACTCTAGCTAAGCAGGGAAAATATTATCCTTTTCTTACTGTTGTATAATGTGAGGTCATGAGGCGCATTTAAGCCCCGGCATGTGCACCGTCCTTGACTTGTAGTGAAGCAGTATGGGAAAAGCCGAGTAATAGGTTTTGAACAAAAAAAAAGAACATTCGTAACTCAAGGTCCACTTACTTGCTTTTCAACCGTAGTTTAGTCTTCTCCAGCAGATGGAGTTCGCTCAGTTGTCAAGCTAGTAAGTAAACCTTGAGTTTTGTCAAGCTGTCAAGAATGAACTTTCACACATTGTTGCTCGTTATATGGATGCATAAATCCAACTCTTTCTTTGACATTCATTCTGATAAGCACTGATCCAATACCAGTGCTCTCTTTTTGTCATATTTCTGTAAGATAAAGTCCAGAGATTGCCGTGGCCAAAATTGTCTGAATGAATGTTACTGATGGAAACAATTGACATTGACAAGGAACTGTGTGTAATATGGATTGATTGTCTTTCATATTATTTATTCTTTCTTTCATATGTTTAAATGTTCTTTGTAATGTGTTTTATAATGAATGTCAGAGGCTAAAACAAATTGGTCTCACAATAAAGTTTTTCTTTATTGTACAAGGGTTGCTGAAGACAGTTTTGGCACCACTTTTGATCCTCAGTGCTACGGACACTTTTGATTGGTGCTTAGATCCATGGGATGCAGATATGATTGAAAAATTGCATCTGGTATCGAACCTCAATGCTATCTAACCGTTGTGTACCATTGTTGTTTGTCTAGGAATGCCAAGGCATCACCCAGGACCAGACATGCCCAACTTCTACTCCTTGTCTCCTGGAGGAGTTGGGCAGATCACGCCACCGCTGGGATGGTGAGTCACAGACAAACAAACGCAAAAGCATGCACAGTTGAGTCGTGTAAACAAGGGGCAATTACTATCTTGTCTCTTCCCATCAGATGCATACTGACACTGTACTGGCTTTGTGTAATGAATGGAGGACTGGTGGCCTGCAGCAGCAGCGTACACAGGGGAGGTCTGCCTCTGGCTGTTCCTGCTGCACTGCTGTGGCTTCAGCCTCACCACTCCTCTGTGTGCCCAGCACATGTCAAACACATCACCACATACGTGCCCCTGCATAACCATATGGCTGCTTAACCCCCATCAAAGCTTCCTGGAAGCACTTCTCTCTCTGAGCCTAACATCGCTACTTTTTTTTTTTGTATCTTTTACTTCTTTTCTTTCCTTTTTTGACCGCATCCTTGTCACAGCCGTTCCCGTGCTTTTTCCCTTTTGTCAACATATCTTTCCCTCTTTCTTATTCTTTCTTTCTTCCACACTATCTCTCTCTCTGTCAGTGTGATGCTTGTGAAGACAGGGCTCTAGGCATACACTGAGTGAAGCCAGATGTAAGGTGCAAGATCAGGCGGCGGTTAAAGCCCAGACGCTCTCCTCCTGTTTTCCTCCCCAGACCCTCTTAAATCTGCATACATACTGTATATTAACCCATTTTTAGATTTAGGAACTTTCTCCAAATTCAGGAACTTTCCCCCCCTTTTCCAGTTGAGGTCCAATTTTGGATCCTTGGTCATAGTTTGTACCTCACAACAAGTCCCTTGGACCGCAGAAGCATTGTGTTTGCAGTACTGAACATTGCTGATCAGTAAATTTCATGTTTTACAAGAATCTTTTTTTTCCATGACAAACATTTATTCCAAAAAGAGCAGCCAGTTGAAACATAACCACAGAATGATGAAGTGAGTGTTGAACGAAATAGACAAATGGAACAAAATGGAAAATGGAGACACAGACATTATGGACCCACCGATAGACTGATGACAACACAGAAGACAATTAAAGACGGTGACAAGGAAAGAAAAACACATCCAAAGCAGTTCTGAAAGGAAGTCAAACAAATTAAAGGCGATTATACGTTTCTGTCAGGTTCTCCTATTTTGCCTGATCTTCATTGTTCTTGAGCTGCAGTGAGATACACAAGCACAACTTACAGAAAGTTGTCGTTCCTTTATTAGCTACTATGGTTCTTTGGATCCAAACATATGCTGTATATGCCCATGTAATCATATAAACCAATGGTAACCAACCTTTTCTTATCCCTTGCATGTTAATCAGTTTATTTAGATCATTTTTAGAGGTCTGAACAGTACAGTGTTCAACAAGCAAAAAAAAATAAGAGAGAACTCTAATCATTTAAACATCATTTTGTGTATTATCTTGCGTGCAACCTCTTGTGGAAGGACATTTTCATGTGGTCTTGTTTACTGTGTCCATCAGTATATTATAAAAAATATTACTGACTGCTGTCTGTATGCCAAATTGGCCCTTGGGGACATTAAAGCTTTCCTCTGCTCCACTTCCCTACTCTGATATTGCAGAAAGAGGTTGATGAAATCAGTGCTAAAAAAGATCTAGAGATACAAGGCACAACTTAAAAAAAAGATGTGTGGATGGATTTCGTTCCTTGTTTGTGACCGCTGTTGCACTTGTTGCGTTTTTCTATTTCACATAGGTGACATTTAAGGGGACCCTTTCCATGCTACTGTCCTTCTTGGTCCTCTTCATTAATCAGAGTCTGCTGTTATTGCAGGTTCTCACACCACATGGTGCCGGGCCCCCCAGGTCCCCACGCCACAGGGATCCCCCACCCGGCCATCGTCAATCCACAGGTCAAACACGAGCCTCTGCATGAAACAGACATCATGCACATGTGAGTCCTGCAAACACAAAATACCTTCATCAAACACTTTCACACACCTTTTTTTCCCTCCTCCCCTCTATCTCTCTGAGACAACATACTTCCAGGTATTTGTGTGCTCCACCACTACAGTAGGCCATTGCTTAACAAACCCTCCGTCAGAGGCTTGTTCTCATTCCCTTGATGTGAGCAGATAAGTAGCGAGGGCCCGTGCTCTACTGATAACAGGCCTATGCTTCATTTGGCCTCAGGGATCACAACACACTTAGCCAGCAACAGATACAGGTCCTAGATTAGTGCTCGGATGAGCTGAATTCCCATCCCCAGTGTGTGCAGTGGGAAGTGCTATGAGCGCCCTGAAGTGGTTATCACTGATATTTTCATTATTCATGGCCATCCCAGCACCAAGACTGTACTAGTATCAAAAATGTTATTAGAAAGTAAGTCAGGAGTGGGAGCAGAGTGTCTTTTGAGTGTGTGTCAGTTTTAAGCGATTGCCAATGTGCTGTGGACGAGAGGTTTGGTTGCCATTACTGGTGAAGTAATCTCTCCGCATGAAGGGCTGCGACTGTGCAACTGCACATGATTAAAGAGACAGGGGCCCATTACGTGGCAACCCCTCGCACGCTGCCTGACCATTGGCTGAGAGCAATCAGAGCTCTCTCGCCGGTTTTGTCGCCATTGCGGCACCGCAATTTCCCCTCCTCTGTTGCTTTGCTCTTTTATTCCCCCGATTTTTGTTTCTTCATCGTCTTTACCTCCATCCGTGTTGTTGTTGTTTTTGTCTGTACAGGAAACCCCAGCACGAACAGAGAAAGGAGCAGGAACCCAAAAGACCGCACATCAAGAAGCCGCTAAACGCCTTCATGCTCTACATGAAAGAGATGCGCGCAAATGTGGTCGCCGAGTGCACACTGAAGGAGAGCGCCGCCATCAATCAGATCCTGGGACGAAGGGTAGGTGCACCGACCTTATTCTCTTTGTCGCTGTAGTTCATCTTTGTTGATTGAGTTAAATCAGCAAGAGATCACAGTTCAATCCATGGCTCTAAAGAGGCTGCATGGACTGCCTTCCCAGGCCCAATTAGTTTTAAAAAGTACAAGGTTTCCTCTCTCTATTAACATACAGTCTTTTATGAACTAGTTGTGATTATTGTCATAATGATTGCCCCGGCCAATTACTTCTCGCTCAGCAGCACAGATACAGACTGCCTATCTAACTGACATTTAATCAAATTGGCTTTAATAAAATATGCCTGGATAATGGCACGGTTGGAAATGACAAAATTTGTTCCTTTTGAGGATTGGGAAAAGAGTGGAACCACAGAGCCATGTTAAAAGCCTTAACGAATAGGCCTAGCGGTTGAGGCAGCCAGCCACAGCAAAGCCTAGTTTGTGGCCTGCATAGGGGTAATTGCTCGCTGACATAGTTTGAATAAAAAGCGCTGCTAAATTGGAACCAGTGTTTTGATAGGAAATCAAAGTTTTTTCCTTCTCTTCTCTCCCTCTCTGAATGTTAATCTCTTCATCATGTGTCCCCCCTTCTTCTTTGTCTCTCTTTTATCCCCATTTTCTCTCTACACCAAACATTTGGAAGTTGAAAAGAAGACTTTTCTTTTTTTTTCTTCTCTTTTTACCAAAACACCAGCACACTTCTTTATGCAGACAACATGCAAGTGCATGCCAGTAATTGACTGTATGCTATTTTTTCCCCCTAATCTCCTTTGTACTGAAACAGTGGCATGCTTTATCTCGGGAAGAGCAAGCTAAGTATTATGAGTTAGCCCGCAAGGAACGGCAGCTCCACATGCAGCTCTACCCAGGCTGGTCTGCTCGAGACAATTATGTAAGTATCAACAGAACAGATTACCAGAGGTGCGCGCGTGTGTGTGTATGTTGATTCATGTTGTTTGTTTATGTCAGCGTTGCATGACTTGTTCTTAAATGGCACCCAACAATCTCACACACACACACACACACACACACACACACACACACACACACACACACACACACACACACACACACACACACACACACACACACACACACTAATTCACACTAGTCGGCTCCATGCTAATGGGGTTCATTTGTGGAGCCTTGTTTCAGCCTAATGTGTAATTCACAACACTGTGATTCACTGTTATATTACCATCCACAGTAAAATGGTTTGTAGTATCATGGACATTATTATTGCCACAGTGAGCGAAAACTGCCTGGTAATGGTTATGCCAGTCTTTGATGTTCCATATCAGCATGGAGCTTTGGATGTAAAAAGTACCTGTTAGACTGAGTTGAGGAGGCTTGATTGTACATACAGCAATCAGCCGCAGCAACCTTTGCTCCTCCAGCCGCCCAGTTTGTTTACGAATGTGGGAGGTTCAGCTGGATTTAAGATGCAAGTCTGTTTTTGGTGTATATCACAGTGTATGTGCGTGCATATGTGTTCTGTGTATTTGCTTGGAAGTTGTGTCAGATCTGTCTGAGTATGTGGCGTGTATGAATCTGTGAGAGAGAGCACCAGCCTTTATTAAAAGTGTGGCTCCGGCACTCACATTCACTCCACCACCAAAGTGCTTTGTGGTGTTTATCTGCCTCCCCTCGGACACCGACAGCATCCCTCCTCCTTCTGCCTCCACTGCTCCGCTGCCAAAATGCCTCGCTGAGGGGGGGAAGACGGTTTTTTCGCAGCTCTGCTCCCAGTGAAGCACAGCGCAGTTAAAGATACACAACATCAGCTAGTGACAGTTAGCCCAGTTCCCATTTAATTTCCAGCTTTGTTAGTACAAACATATTTGACGGGTAGGAAAAAAAAAAGTGGTGAAATGGCTTTCTACTTGGCATACCAAAGAGATAAAGGGAAATGATATGTTTAACGCAAAACATTTCTTACAAATAAATGTTTCCTGTGAGCGCTATTCTGTGACCCCTCCCACAAACAAAATCCTCAGCTGTGCACAGGCACAACACATCATGCCTGGATACACCCAAAATAGGTAACGCACTGGCATGGGGAGCGTGTAGCATTCATAGTTTTGCTGTGTACCCCCTCACTCATCCTTTCTCTCACCCACTCTCACTTAGTCTCTTCTTCTTCCCTGTCTGCCGCAGCAGTAGAAGGCAGATTAGCTCATGAATAAGTGGATTAGCAGACTTTGCAGCAGGAAACCAAAGTGCTGCTCATATTTGACTAGAACGACTCTACGCTGCTATCTATACCTATAGTCTCCCCCCTGGGGATTTAGCATAAGCTATAAATCCTTACACACTCCCACCACCTCGCTGGAAAAAGAGTGTCGCTCTTCACAGTCGTTGAGCTAGACTAGCCTAATTACAGTGAGCATTTTTAATTGCACTTCATGTTAATATTTGTCATTAGAGGGACTTCAAAGGTAGTGGAAATATGGCACAGACTGGTCACAACAGCAGGACAAGCTGTACCTCTATCCGGTTAGGATGGTCCAAGCTTAAAAAAAGCCCTTATAGTGATAGAAAGTAAGTCATTTAAAAGCAGGTAGAGCACGCTTAACATTAGCCCAGGCTTGCTGGGTCCATTCCTCTCAGCGTGGCAGTTTGCTCGTGGAGTCCGGAGTCCAAGGGGTGCTGGTTGGTTGCCCAGCAGGGGATGAGTGAACATGGCAGTCAGCAGCAGGATACCAGAGTGGTCTAGTGAGCGTGAGTGCTGGAGCCACACTTTATGTGTTCCTCTGTATATTTTTTAGGGAAAGAAGAAGAAGCGGAAGAGGGAGAAGATGCAGGAAACGGCCCCCGGTAAGTGAATGGTCCCGTCCCAGTTCCTTCTCTTTTTTTTTCTTTTTTTTTTGTCTGTCGCATCTTGACGTTGTGAGTTACGCCATCTTCCCATAGACGACACATATTCTTTTACAGTTTACTGCTGCATTTTTAATAATGCCTCTGTAGAGCTGTAAAAAAGTCCTTCACTTTTCTTATAGACTTTCTTTGTATGCATCCCTCCATTCATTTATTCCTTCACTCTCTCTCATCCTTGTCCTCACACATTACACCTACTTTGGGATTAGTCTGTCCATTCTATACGACTACTTACCGATTCTGGGCTTTGCACTATTTGTTTGCCTGCTGCACTTACAGTATGTCTTTCTGCTGACCTTGTTTAGCTGCGCTTATGAGCCTCTCCTCTCAGCACTGCAACTGTAATCCATTGAGAATTACATCTTAAGTAAAATGTCAGTATTTTTTTTTTTTTGGTCTGTACACTGTATAGGCCAAATGGACGGTTAAAGATCTATGCCGCCCAGATACCTCAAAATTTTTAAAAAAGATGCAATTTTCTGCAGGTACAGGCCAGAGAATGAAAACGGCGTACATCTGAGAAAATGGTAAGACAAAAACCCCCTCTATCCCCTCCCTGTCTGATCAGTTCAATATATGTCAAGACTTTTTAAACTGCTAAACACTGACTTGAGAGTATGTACTAACAGACTAATCCTAAAAAGGTCCACCCTAACCTCGCCATAGTCATTGTGTCAGTGGTGTTAAGGCCTGAAGGGGGATTGTGCTTTGTGTGTGGAGTTTGCTCAATGGCCTCAGCACAATAGGCATGGGATTTTCTCCCTTTTGTGTGTGTGTGCAATCAAACGTGCGCGTGTGTGTGTCTGTGTTGAACTGGCTTGATTTTTAAATGTTTTTGTGTTGAGCGCTGTTTGGATGAAAGGTCAGATGTTGTGTCAGCAGTTTATGGTTTGTTTCTTCCATCGTGTGTTAGAAAAAAAGTCTAAATAAAAAGGAAAAATGATTGCTTAATAAATCAGACATCTCATCCACTTGGTGTTTTCTAAACATGGACTAAGTGATACATCTGAAAACAGTTTTACTCGCGCTGAACTTTTTCTTACTGCTGGTGGAGGCTAAGATGTCAGCTCAGCCCCATATGGACTACATGTGTTGTCTCTCTCTGCATCTTTGTGAAGCGGAGCAGGATTCAGCAGCTTGTTTGGCAGCAACTTAATGAGATGCTATACCTTAACAAGATTTCATGGTATCTGGGGTTTCAGGGTGTCTATAATGCCTTCATGACAAAGGCACTCAGCAGTGGGTTTTTTTTTTTTTTTTTTTTTACATGTGAATGATGTGTTGAGATATATTGATTCAGATGCCATGTCAAATGCTCAACTGTCACCTGTCCCTTTTTTCTTTTTTTTTTGGTCAAAAGAAGGATTAACGTTCCCAATATGTGGCAAAGGCAACTCTATTTTCCCTCTTTCAGTCTTCCGTACTCTCTCTTGATCTTCCTGCTTTCTATCTCTCTCCTTCCCTCCCTCTCCCTCCCTGTGAGTCTGGTAGCATCCTGTTGTTCCGCTCCCTTTTCGGCAGCAGAAAAAAGCTGGGCAGATGTGACAAATCTGGTCTTACGTCGAAATCGCCCCAACCAGACAAAGGTTTTCCACTTGATCGATTCCTGACCCAGTGGCTCTCTCTGAAACCAAAATTGGGCTTCTTTTCTTTTCTGTTTTTTTTCTCTCTCGCCACAGTCGGTTTTCAAAGCGCAGAGAAAGCGAGCGCTAAAAAGCACTTTATCTCTGATCCAATAATTAGCAGCGCCTAGCCGCAGCGGGATGGACACCCTTGCTGATTCTCAGTGACAGCCTTAAACTAATATGCATAATACCAAGGATACTGCCACAACTCCCCAAGCCCTCAATTTATGCAGATCCCAAAGAGCTGGATTGAGGTTAGCTCGGTGTAGACGCCAAAAAACATCTTTAAATGAACTCGTTTGTCTATTTCTTTTCATCTGCCCTAGCCTCTACCCCATCTGTCTCTGCTCCATATGAAAAATCTGAAAGGAAATTTGTTAATGAGTTAAATTCGAAGACACAGTTTGAACACCTCTTTGTATGATGGTTCAAAGACAGTGAACATTTTGCTTCGTTAGATAATATTTTTAGCGCTTGTACAGTCATAATGAAGTATGTTCAGCATAACAAAGTGAAATGTTTCAGTCTAGGTAGATTTTATGAAGGGAAAATTGACTTAATAGATGTTCATATTAACATATTTTATGGCTTCTGCTGAGTTTTTCTGCCTGTGAGGCAAACCAGGAGTTTGGCTTGCCATTGCTTCTCTTTGTTATCTTTAGCATGTCAAACACTGGGCCCGCCACACAGCTGGCTCTCACCACAGTGGAACAGCACTCTGAGAAGTCATTACTCTGACAATGTGAAATGAGGGTTTCCGTCTCTTCCCCTCGTCATTCTGTGCCCCGGCCCCCTTTTTTTTTCTCACACTGACTGGAAATGCGCAGCTTTACCCCACCTTTCCTCCCTGCTCCTGCGCCCTTCTTTTATTTAGTTTCTCTCTCGCGTGCACCGTTTTGCCTTTTGTCCGACTAAGCCCGCTGATTCACAGCCTTTCAGATGGTTATCTGGCCGAGACACATACATGCCCCGGAGGCTTTCTCCCGTTTCAGCCACTGCGCATTTTTTTCACAGGGGGGAGACACTCTTAACAAAGGTGGCCTTTTAATCTGGCCGGCGAGGGGCCGCGGAGTTGCAAACACTAGCAAACTGCCATAAAAACTGCATGTGAGTCATCTTGCTCAGACTCTTATGAAGGTGCTCTTTTGTTGACAGGCAAAAATGGATGTCTTCCACGTGAGGAAGAGGTTGTATTTTCAATCACATGATCCAGGATGTCTTCCTAAAAATGATGCTTTACAATTAATAAAGCCTGTTAAGTGCATCGAGGGTCATCTCTAACCACATGTCCCGGTCCAGAAACATGAAAGGAAGTGTTGTTCAGGCAGGAGCTTTGGTGGCTATACCCTCTCTCCTCCTCTCTCTGTCTCAGTCGTGCCCCGGCTCTCCTCCCTCTGATGTGTTCAGCCAGAAGTCAGCTGTCAAAAGACTTTGATGGGCGAGGAGGAAAAAAGAGGCAAGACGGGGAGGGGGAGGGAGGGAGGGTAAGAAAAGGGCCAGAAGAAAATCCCTCATTCTCCCAAGTTCTGAGTTTACCCAATCTTGCTTGACTGCCACTCATCCTTCAGTCTCCATCCCTCATTTCTTTCCCCTTCTTCTCTCTTTTTATTTGTTGCCTCTCATCAAATTTCTCTCTCTCTCTCTCTCTCTCTCTCTCTCTCTCTCTCTCTCTCTCTCTCTCTCAGACCCTCATCACTCTCTGTACATTTCTCTTTCTCTCACACACACACACACACAACACAGACCCACACAAACACACCCTATGTACACTTTCTCTCACACACACACACACACACACACACACACACACACATACATCTGAGCAGTCAGCCACACACTCGGGCTGCAATTAGACAAGATCCAGCGTCTGCCTCTATTTCCCGAGTCGTTTCAATTTGGCACCGAGCCTCTAGGCCACTGCGGCACAGCCCAGTGCCTCCACACCCCGCCTTATTAGTGACCCGGGATAATTGGGGAAGGAATCCGAATCGCACAAAAAAAATAAAAAAGACTGTGGGTCTCGCTCTGAGCTGCACACAGGAGATGAGAGGATGTTTTTAAAACTGTACTACTTCACGAAAAAAAAAAAGGGGGGGGGTAGTTATGAGTGGGAGGTGGAGGAGAGAGATTTGGGCTTAAATCAGAGCGACGCCCCGGCTAATGTTTCTCTGGGTGGGAGGAAATAGAATCGGAAACATTAACCCCCACAGTCCTCCCGTTCTCTCACTCCCCTGACCTCCACAAAGCCTACTCTGTGAAGAAAAATGACCCTCTCAGCACTTAGTACATAGACTTTTTAGATGGCGGCAGTATGTCAAACTTTATGTAATTTAAGTATGCATATGTGGTTTTAGCTTAGAAGTACAAATCTTACACACTGACATGCTTGTCTTATCCTGGCCTGGAAGCCTTACTTGACACTTTTAGGAGGGGGGAAAAAAAATGTTAAGAGGGGAGGGTATAACCCACTTAAGGTTCTATGTTTATATGTGAGAAAATGCAGCTATAGTGTTCCCATTGTTTAGACTGGTGCTTGAAATTTGTTTTGATTGAGTCACGGGCCTATTGTGTTGTGGTTTGGCCAGCTGCAGTAACAGTATGAGGGTCCAGTCTCTTGGCGTTTTTGTGATGTCTTCTCCACTTCCTTTTCTTTCTCTCTCTGCCCCCCCCCCACACACACACAGCCTCACCCCTGTGGCTCCTCCAGGCACTGCAGGCCCTTCTTTGGGAGAGGCGGAGATATGTGACCTTATAAAAAACGCTCCCCTCATGAGATGCTTATCTCTGAATGAAAAGGCCCCCAGGTAACACGGGGGTACAGACAGGAAGAGGACGGTGGGGCCGGAGGAAGCGCTGTTTATTTTTATTTTACTCTAGTCAGTCTGGCCATTGTTAGAGGAGGGGAAAGCCTCACGCCATCAGCTCCGTCTTTTTCTTCCCCTCTTTTTCTACCTATTTACTCCCCTCATTCCCTGCTCCTCCTTTTTCCTGCTTCTCTCCTCTGTCCTGACGGAGAATATGAGTGGCGGCGGAGGACTTTGAAGCGAGACCACAGCAGAGGGAGCAGTCATTGTGCTAGGCTCTTTGAATGTGCAGCAACCCCCCCCTGCAGACATCCCCCGGCCTGCAGCGGCTCAGACTGAGCTGTGCGGGGGCACACGGCCAGACTTCAGCTGCCCGGGCCCCCAGCAATGCCGCCTCAGATGTGGGCAACGCCTCCCCCCTTCCCTCCCACACCCTCCTGTACTCCCCTAGTCTCACCCACACATGCTTGAGGTTTGGGGTTTTGGTGACTCCCCCCCTCCCCTTTCCCCTTTCGACCACAATCAGACCCCACCCTTCCCTTCTCTCCAATATTTAACACAGACACCGTCTTCCCTCTTCTTTTTCTTCACCCATTTAGCCCCTCCTGACTGACTTGTTAGTTTCTGATAGCCCCTGTGGAAAAGCGAGAACATCCCCTGAGCCCGCCTTTTGATTGGAGGTTAAAAATTTCAAAGCTTTTTTTTTTTTTTTTTTTTTTTAAAGAGCCGATTTTCTTTTATGTTGAATGTCTCAGGGCCAGAGAAAGTGCTGACTGTGTGCAGCATTTTGTTTAAAACATCGCTTTGTCTTCCAGGTGCTGCTTTTTTTTGTTGTTTAATTGGCCCCCATTTTTATTTTTCCCTGGTGTTTTAAAGAGCGGCTCCGCCACAAATGTAAAGAGAGAGGGCTCCTTTGAAAAGGTGTCACCAAAGCCAGCTGTGCGATCCAGGAAAGGTCACTGCCAAGACTTGAATCTAAATGTGTGGACGATTACTTAGTGGAGCTCTCGAGTCTGTTTGCTTGAGTCAGACTGAACTGAGTGGATGATGTAACAAAGGGTTGGCACTTTGTGTAGCTGCTGGATCTCAGGTCGAAATTAAAGGGGCCGCGGCGTCATTATTCATCTACTCGTTAGATATGAAAGACACCGATAGAAATGTTTGTTCTGTTTGAACCAATGACATTCATCAGTGATGGTTCTTGTAACACATGCGGAACAATTTGGGTAATCTGAAGTCATTTACAAGCAAAAGTACCAAACATTTACTGGATTCAGCTGCTTTTTTCAGATTTATATCAATAACTTCAACATCTTTGGGTTTTTAACTCTTTTAAACATTTCTCTAAAAATCTTTACACAAAAAATAAATAAATAAAATAAAGTAACTTGATAATGAAAATGATCATCAAAAATTGGTTCACAGGTAGGGCTGCAGGTAATTAAGGTATTTGTGCCCTGACATTTATTACAGCTTAGGTGTCATTTTCCTATCTTTGGTCTTCATTGCGTCATCGGTAACAATCAGATTGTACTCACTAGGTGCATTGTTAGTCCAATTGGGTGAGAAATAAGTGCTTCCTGACAATCAAGACAAATTGGATACAAACCCTCCAGGTGAGCCAAACTGATTTAAAAGACAACATGAGGTCAAACAGTAAAATTATGACCTAAACATCACAGTTTACCTAGTTATGTAAATTCCTTTGAATAAAGTGGCTTGTTCTACAACCTGTTTAATCATCTGACTGCACACTTGCCCTGTCAGACTTCTTTATAGCGATGTTACCATGTTCCCAGATCTTAAAAAACCTGGTGACTACAATGTTAATCATAACCGATAACAAAGATGATGGCCAAAACTACAAAAATAAGATCCAAGTTGCTATTAATCTCTCTCAGACCGTGACTCCTTCCCTCTCGTTTCTCCTCCAAATCTCCCCTCTTCCCTCTGCCATAGTAAAGTCTGCGCCTCAGCCTGCGCTGGAGACACCTCTCTCTACTTGGCTTATTTTTAGAGTAATTTGTCGGCGGTGTTTTCCTTTTTTAATGGCACCAAAAGAAACCCCAGAGCTGTGTGTAGGGAGAGACGGAGCTGAGGAGGTGGGTGGTTCGGTGGGTTTGGAGGTTAGGGGGCTATAAGGCAGGCGGGCCCCAGCTGCGGGCGCTTTGATTTGGCCTGGGAGGTGAAAGCGCCGATTGAGACGCGAGGCTGTGCCAGTTATCTTAACCTCCCACACTTCAAAAGCTGGGCGAGAGCTTGTCCGACTCCTTCCCCTCCTCCCTCCGTCCCGTAGAGGGAAAGGAATTGGGGAAGAGAGAAGGGGGGGGGGACTAAACCTTCGCTAGCACTCTGAACAGAGGAGCGTTTCATTTCCTGCAAAAAAGTCCAGCCGGCATTCCTGAGCGCTAATGTAGAGGGAGGAGGTGGTGGAGGAGATGGAGGGTAGGTGAGGGGAGAGGAGAGGAGGGGAGAGGAGAGGAGGGGTCAAGTTGCTCCTGAATCCCAGTGTTTGTGTCGGCTGGACCTTGTGAAGAGCTGGCCTGGTGCCCCCTACAACCAACCACCACGCAAATACACACCCCTGCTGTTACCACCAACCTTTTTTTTTTTTAAACTTGCGCACACACATACATACACACACATACACACACCCACACTTTTTGCCCGCAGCCCCTCAGGCTTCTTCCCCAGGCAGGAAGGCCAGCGCTTTTCATGTCTGTGGTGGGGGAAGGAAAAATGCTCCCCAGGAAACAGGGTGCAGTGCCGGGCGTGCGGGCCCGCTTTGAGATCCTGGGATGAAAAGAGAGAGGGCGGCGGAGGTAAATAAAAGCGACAGGAGCTCTCTCTTTCTCTGAGCGCTGTGCTCCTTTCAGTTTCTGCTCTGTGCAGCACAGGGTCAGCTCTCTTCGGGAAAGGTGGCCTCTGTCCTGTTCCCTTTTATCCACATGTGGTAAAGCAGTCTGCAGGGTGTGTGTGTGTGTGTGTGTGTGTGTGTGTGTGTGTGTGTGTGTGGTGTGTGTGTGTGTGTGTGTGTGTGTGTGTGTGTTGTTTGTGTGTGTGTGTGTGTGTGTGTGTGTGTGTGTGTGTGTGTGTGTGTGTGTGTGTGTGTGTGTGTGTGTGTGTGTGTGTGTGTTAAGACTTTTGAGTGTAAAGATGCAGTGAGCAGCAGGGCTCAGCTGACTTCTCTCCTACAAAAACACACTCTTGGCTTTGCCACAAGGGAAAAAGCAAACTAATACCGTTTCTTTTCCTTTTTTCGTCTTCACAAAACATCCATCTTTTTAGTCGCAGGAGGCATCCATCCACCTCTGTCTCTGCCTCTCCACTTTGATCACAGATTCTATTTGATGCTGCTAGGGTCTAAAATAACTCTCCTTGGCTTGTCAATAACTGAAGCTAACTCTGTTATGTTAGCTCAAGCCCGCATCACGAGAGGGAAAAGAACACTTTTGCAGCTTGACGAACAATTTCCCTGTCAGGGAAAGGGGCCAATTCCATGAGAGTCTTGTGAAGTAGATTGAGCAGTCAGGTAACATTTTTACACCGCAGTGTCAATCTGTACCCCAACCGCACTGTCTCAGATAATTACCACCACGGTTCCATGAACTCTGCTAGTTTTAACCAACTGGGTCACTGTGGCGATCCAACTGTGTGGAGAGCATTTCCTCGTCTTGTTTTCCCCAACGCCCACCTGCAGCCTAAAATGTCAACCAGAAGCTACACAATTGGGTGCGCGCCTTGAGTGAGCAAGAGGAGGAATGAGTCAGTCAGGGGAGGGCAAAGAAGAGTGGAGCACTGCCAGCTGGGTCACGGCAACCCCCATGTTAGACTAGATCAAAGCTCGACCAGCCCACATCCTGTCACTGACCTATAACCCCTCTGTAGTTCAGGGCTTTGCTCAACGCTGCTGCAGCGCCGTTCATTCAATCAGCTACAACACTATGAAGAAAAAAGAAATAATGATGGATTATGTAGATGGTAATGACAGGTTATTTGTCACTCCCCGAGCCGGGGAGGCATGCTTGCATGGTTAGACACACTCGAGTCATTCTGAGTCATCTTGATAGGTCTGGTTTTGGTTAATGTGACGTGAATGTGACCAGTGTTTTGGTGTGGGTTACTGATGTGTTTCTAATTTTTTTTCCTCCCTCACTGATGAGGAGAAAAATAAAGCGGCATTTTTTTTTTTTGTGTATGCACACATGCAGTTACTTCATAGTGTGGTTGATTGATTCATCTTTTCTTTTGTTCCCCTTTTTTTTTCTTCTCCTTCTTCTCCAGGAGGAAAACGTAGCAATTTCTCCACATGCAAAGCGAAGGCAGCAGCTACGGGCCCTCTGCTAGAGATGGAGGCCTGTTAGATTCCATGAAGACCCTTAAATCTCCAAAACTGAAGCCTCCAGTTCTCAGAGGACCCTCCTCCTCCCCTCCCACTCCCCTCTCCCCCACCTACCCATCCCTCCGACCCCGTCCTAACCCTACTCCCTTTCCTTCAACACAGTCACCACCACCACCACCACCACCAAAAATACTTCACTGTTTGACTCTACTCCCTTCCTGAAGGCGCCTGCTGTAGAGACACTGAACTGAACTGAACGAGACAATCACGATTCGTAGGAGCACCCTCACGCAACCACGTTCTCTCACCGAAAAAAAACATCAATTTGACGTCTGTGTTTTGTCAGTTTCCTTTACAATCAGCTTTACTGCAAATCCAAGGCACTGCACTGAAAAACAGCAGCACAAACTTCTCCACTGCACTGCCCGAACACTCCCAAACACCTGTTCCTAAGTTACTGTAATTTATTTGTCACCTCGGTTCCTTTGTATAGCTCATTAGGCCGACATTCACTCCCTCACCACCTCCCCGCCCCCGTGTCTTTCTCTCCCTGGATTTTTGAGACCATTCGGGGTTTCGCCTGCCCGACCAAACACCTCTTTTTAGACTGCACTAAAGGAAGATGGAGGGATCTCATCTTGTCTAAGAAAACGTCCTCAAGACGCCATTTTAGTTCGTTGCTGACCAGTTGGTGCAAAAAAGGATCAACATTTTGATTTGCTTTTTATTTTAGACTGAGTTTTATTTTGAATGCTTTTTTTGTATCTTGAACCCTTGTTTCAATTTCTCGGTGTATATTTTTGTGATTTTTTTTTTTTTTTTTTTAAATATTGTTTTTTTTATATAGTGGTATATATATGAAAATAAGCTTTGGACACAGGAAAGCCATTTTTCTTGTTGAAGCGTCTTGCAGAAAATTGAAACTTAAGGCTTCTTTTGATAACTATTTGTAACAAATAGTGACCTCGAGTCTTGCTCAGATGTAAAATAATGCTCAGTATGTGTACTTTTTAAAACTGTCAGGATATGTCAATTTTCTTGGTATTTTTGCAGGCAACATTAGGACAAAGGCGAGAGTGATAGCTCAGAGGCCTATATTTTATTGTTCTAAAACATGACAAATGAAGCAGATATATATATTTACCCCAGCACTTGGCAGTCTTTCTTTTATTGCAATGGACCTTTGTCTTTTCTCTCTGGTAGCTAATAGTGTGGTCTTTAGCCATGTTGTTTATTCCATGCAAGCATCTCTGTAACATTTTGATTTTAATGCTCTATTTTAGTATTACTTGATGAATTCCTTTTTTTATTATCATGTTTTGGGTCACTGTCATCTTGGTATAGCATTTTGCTTTCCAAGTGGTCATATTTGAACTGTTTCAACATGTTTTTGTTTTGTTTTTTGTAAGAAAAATAAAAAGGCACCATTGGCTCATTTGATCACTCGTGTGGTAGAAAGACCTGAGCTAGAGGTGCCAGATGTAACAGTCTGTGTCATCCTTGGAGATTATAATGTAAGTATGGATAGGTGGTAGAGCTGAAGCAGGATAACACACACTGGATATGACATGTTTTTAGTCTTTGTGGAAACTTCAAAAAGCTTAAAGAAATTGACAAGCAATTTAAAGTCCAAAAGCATACAATGCTTGGGGCTACATTTATAATACAGTATTATTGCAATGGTAATGAAAAGAGAAACCTACATCATCTGAATATAAAAACCTTTCAATTGTGTAACAAGTTGATTTCAAGGATGAGATTTGTCTTTTTTTCTGGTCTCAGTGTAAAAAATGGTAAGGTAAACAGACTTAAAATTCTGTAAAACCTCTTCAGGTTTTGAATTAGAATCGAATTTCTGTAGTAAACACAACATTTTTGATGATAGAGCCAAGATCAAAGGGAAATTCTATTTATAGACAAATCTGAATTGTGCTGCTTGGATTTCCAGTAAAACAGCACCACCTTGTGTTCCTGTTGGGTTACCAGAAACCAAGTGGTAAGGATAACCATTCCCAAAGTGTGCAATGGTTTATAACAGCATCTGACAAATGATTCATTGAAGTCACTTTTATTTATAAAGCCCACAATTACGTTGGTCCTTTGTCTCGATTGCACTAAAACTCACCAAATACCCCTTTAACACGGACAGAAGTAACAATAAAATTACAATATGAAGTAAACTAAAAGATTAAGTATGATATAAATAACGACAAAGTCTCTCTGCTTAGTGTTACTCCACTTAGGTGTTTGACCTTCACTGTTAATAATGAAACGATTCTGGATTTTTCAATGAGGGAAAAGGAGTAGATGAAATTTTAAAGTTTTTAACAAGGTAATGTGGAAAAAAAAAATCAAACAACTTACTGAACACACAGTATTCTTTATATGACTTCATAACCAATAGTGTCTCCTCACAAACAATAGGGCTCTTATGAACACTGAAACAGGTTTTTCTTGCTGTAACTTCCTGTTCATACCTGGCAGTCTGAGTTAAATAAATCATCTGGATATGTTTTCAGTTAAAAAAAAATCTATTGGTGTTTCCCTGCAAAGTGTTTAAGCTGCAGTGGAAACACAAAGTGGGAATTTTGTGGGAAGACTAATATAGGAATATATCCACTTAATTTGTCTGGTTCAGACAGCTTACCTCATATTAGCTTCAGATTAACCACCAGGTGGCAGTAATGTGCCAGCAAAGGGAGGGAAGAAGACTGCTGCTTAGTAAATGGATAAAAAAATAGGTTTTAAAATGTTCAAAAAAAAAAAAAAATTGGTTTAACAAAAGTTTTTATGAGGAAGGAAATACATTAAACACATCTGTAACTTTCTACAGCACTGTCTTGTGTGGCACAACCAATCCTACTGAAAACCGGATAGATTATTATACATGAATATTATTTGTGCTACAGTTGCACAGATTCTAGTAGATCTGAGAGGCATTCACATTTTATGTTTAGCATAAATATCACTGTTCTTCATGTAAGTGTACCTTTCACTCCAACAACAACAAGAACAGACACCAAGTATTTGAAAAGTCTATTTAATCAGAATTAATTTCTTCACAAACAAAGATGTAAATCAGTGGACGTCCATTAGACAATGGACTGACAGGCAAAAGTTGACCTTCAGTGTAGAAGGCACAGGCACTTTTTATATTTCTGTATCATATTAGTCCTTGTTAGATGGCTTATTTTCTGAAAACACTGCAACACTAAATTACTTGTACTTGTAGAATCCTTCTCCTGTCTTTCTGCCCAATTTTCCCTCTGCAACTTTCTTGTTCAACAGTTCGCTCGGGGCGAAGAGTGGGTTGCTGGGATCCATTGCAGACCACCCTACAATAACAAAAGGAAAAGACTTTACATTTAACATATCAAATCATTGTCCTTACTCGAAGCGGTTTCATATTATCAAAGGCTGGTGATATCCAAACCTGTATTTTCCACAGTTTTACTCACCATCAATGATAAACTTTGCTGTGTCTAGTCCCACAAAGTCAGCTAGCTCAAGGGGGCCCATGGGATAACCTGCACCGAGTTTCATGGCAATATCGATGTCCTCTTTGGATCCATGACCTGAGGTTGAAAACAGAAAAACAACAACATGCAAAGCTGCAGAAATCAATCAAAAACTACTAAATAATCCTGAGGGATACTGAATTAGAGCCCCAATATTTGATGCTGTTCACTTAAATATGAATGTGAAAGAAAGACCTGTGTAGCTCCTTTCAATTTCCCCCAAAATGACCACTTAAAATCCCAAAGAAACATAGTTATGGACACTTACTCCTAGTGAATAATCCCAATACACAAATTATGGCAACTTTCCTATCGACATTACTGGTGCTTGTGCGGGTATTTATACCTCTCTCATGCAACCGGACGGCCTCCATTATGTAGGGAACAAGCAGGCGGTTTACAATGAATCCTGGTGTGTCCTGAATAAAGAGACGTTGGATGCTGTGAGTGGGCTGTTAAATACATCTTTAAAAGAGACTACACATAGTTTGACATCCCATCTTACCTTGCAGGACACTGGCGTTTTTCCGAGCACTTTGCTGAAGTTCAGCAGGGAATCAAAAGTCTCTTGGCTTGTTGCTGAGGTTCCAATGACCTGTGAAAGAGAAATACTTCAGCAACTCTGATTGTAATCCTACTTAGCTTGACAGAAAAGGTGAATAATCTCAATGCATCTGTCTACATTCAAACCGGGCTCACACTTTATTAGTTATGTTAGGGAATATTTCAATTCTCAGTATTTCCTTCCCTCATAAAGCTGAAACAGAAGAAACTGAAACAATATGTATGTGTGTATAAAGTCCCACAAATTGAATTGTATAAATTCTATAAATCTCTTCTGTACACTGTTTGAAGATGTAACCCAAGTAATGAATTAAAAACCCTGAGGTGGTGAACTCTGTATATGAGAGCCATCTTGATAATTCTGAAAAAAAAAAAAAACATGATTTGACCTGTTTATTTGTAATAGTTTGACCAATAAATGCATCACTTCATACTGCAGTGCAATGCAGACCCGTTTCTGATTGGTATACGGTGATGGGAATGTACATACACACTTTGCATTACTACCGGGACATCGTATATTTGAAGTAACATAGTAAAAAAACACACACACACACACACACACACACACACACACACACACACACACACACACACACACACACACACACACACACACACACACACACACACACACACACACACACACACACACACACACACACACACACACGAGGGAGAAGATCAAATGAACTATTTAAATATTTACAAGCTCTAAAACAATTTACATATAAGCTATAAGAACACCTCAATCCAGATACTTGTGAGAAAGAGTGAGAGACTAGGTCAAACTAACTATTTACATATTTACAAACTATAGGAACACCCTAATCCAGAGATCCGGAGAGGAAAAGTAAGAGCTTGTTTACACCTGTAATATGCAGACCTCAAGTGAACAGCTCTAAATACAATTGTAGACAACCACTGAGACGCATTGGGATTTCCCCGATGGACTGAATAAGTCACTAAATTTGTCACTTATCGCCAAATTGGCATCACTGGTGTCTCTGATTGATTGGGTGTATGTATGTGTGTGACATAGCATAGACACCTCACATTTTCTTATTTGAACACCTAACAACATATATATAGGCTATGACACATAAAAGTAATAATTTCATTTGTAATGATAAATTTCTCTATTGTCCCAAACACTGTATCTTTGTGTCCCAGGTGCTATTTCTTTTGTCACCGGGACAACGAGACTTCCTTTTTTTCGTGCTGCTACATATATATTCTAATGCATACACAGACAACACAAACACACACATACACGTGCATAGACACACATGTGCACACGATGTTATCGCTTGTTGTTTTAATTCTGAATCCCTCTTGTCTTTTTGTTCAAGTTGTTTTAACCTGAATGTAAAAGCCTAACACAAACCATACACAAACAAATAAAAAGAAAGACACAGATTTATTATTTTACCTCTACAAGCTTCATCATAGGGACTGGGTTGAAGAAGTGAAGGCCGCCAAATCTGTCCAGCCTGCTGGTGGAGCTGGCGATGTCAGAGATGGGCAGGGAGGATGTGTTGCTGGCAAAGATGGTGTGTCTAAAACACAAAGTGCAGAATTATTTAAAGCAGTTAATAATAATAATAATAATAATAATAATAGTCCTCTAAGAAGGTGACCAAATGTAATGTGTATGTGCCCTCTTCCCTCTCAGACCAGAACTTGAAAATGAAATGGATTCTGTGGTTTTAAATACTGATAATGAGTGTAGAAACACACACAGAGCACCACAAAACACAGAACAGACAGCAATCAGCTGGATCTTCTGGTTGTTACCCTGCTGCCCCACTTCGTGTGTAATCTAATAAACTAATAAATTAAACAGAAAAGGATGGTGCTTACTGTGGTGCCACCTTGTCAAGCTGACCAAAGATATCCTGTTTGATTTTAAGATTTTCCACAATTGCCTCCAGCACAAGATCCGAGCCCTGGACTACAGATCCAGCATCTGTGGAGGTTGACACATTCTGCAGGACTTTCTGGATGAACTCTTCACCTGCCTGAAACAAACACGATATCTCCCATTAGTGACACACATTTCACTCTTACACTGTTTAATTTTTATTTTTTTTTATTTTTTACTGTGTCTTACCTCTGGCTTATCAGCAAACTTCTTCTTCACCACTCTTCTTAGGCTCCCTTCAATTCCTTTGACAGACTTTTTAAGGATGTCGTCGCTTGTATCCACCAGCGTCACTGAGTGGCCAGTTGATGCAGCAACCTTTCAGACATATAGAAGATGATGGAGGAAGTGTCAGTCAGGTTGAGGTGGGAGCAAATACGTTGAAACTGTCCACCCTAAACCTCTCAATAAGGTCCTAAAACAGTAAATGTAAAAATAAACCAGAGCTGTGTCACAAATAAAAATCATAACTCATCACAGCCTAGTCAGCAGACATACTACAAACTAACAGATTTTTGAACATGCTGTTGATGGACACTATTGTCCCACAATGCAATGCACAAGTAAGTGCTACAAAAACAATATAGTCACTTCTACATTGTGATATTGTATCCAGTTAATATGTGGTATGTAGCTAAAATCCTCCAGTAGCAATGCACAGGACACCGGGTGTGTACAGCGGCACCTTGTGGCAAACTTGTGCATCTTCTAAAATCCCCTTCAGTGCATCTGAGTTGAATCCTTAAAGTGTCTTGTTATATGACACCACGAGGAAACTAAGGAGCTATGTTTAATGAATGACAACTATGTCTAAACTTCCTCATGGGATCAATGGTTGATTGTGCAGTGAGGCGGGAGACCCATTCACTATCAGGGAAATATCAAGCTTCATAAGACAACTGCGAGCTTCTATTTAGTAAAACTAACAATAACAATATATTGGTGACATATATGAACCGGCCGCATGTTTACTGTGTGCAAACAATGCGGGGGGCAAATCAAGCTGTTGATAGTTGGGACATGCTTCGTTGGACTTTTAACATGACAGCTGGCTAGCTACAGTGAAGCTACCTGCTAGCTACTTTGCAACACAAGAGACCCAAGGCGTTTCGTCGCTTACCTGCGCAATCCCTGCACCCATCTGACCACTTCCGATGATCGTTACATGCTTGATAACGACATTCCTGACGGCCGAAGAGGAGAAACCTCTGCAGACTTGGTGAGAGAAGAAAGCCATGTTGTATTAACCTGATACAGGACTTCTGCACTGAAACAGGCTCCGATTTTTTTTTGTGTCCCAGGGTGGCGAAGTCATGACCCGCCCTACTCTGCCTCTGATTGGCTCAGCCTGACGTTCTTGCTCTAACTCTAACCAATCCCACCTCCTCATGCCTTCCGAACAAATGAAGGCAGTGAGTACTAGCCAATCAGAGGCAGAGTAGGGCGGGTCATGACTTTGCCACCCTGGAAAAAAGATAAAATAGGTAGAAGGTCGACAGTCACGTGACCACGAGGACACTTCTATGACCTTTCACATAGATAAACTCAGGCGTTACTAAATATTATATTATATAAGTAAATATATGACTCCAGTATTCAGAATTAGAAACAGGGGATGTAAAAATACTGCATTCAAAATAAAAAAGGTCAAAGTGAATTTTACTTTAAATATCAAAAGTAAAAGTAGTTTGGTAGTTTAACCTTAACTTTCAGTCAGGTAACACAAAACTGTTTTAGTGAGCTATTAGCAGTGGTACAACAAATTTTGAGGTACTTTATTTAAATTACTTACCTTTTTTTGCTACTTTATACTTTTACTTCACTACTTTTCAAAATAAATGCATTTAGAAATATTGTACTTTTTGCTCCATTACATTACTTTGAAAGGTAACGTTAGATATTAACCCATGGTGAAAAGTACCTTTGCTCAAGAACTGTAGGCCTACTTCAGTACAATTTTGTTCTGCTTTATCCTACTTCACTACCTACTACTAAAGGTAAATAATGTACTTTGTTTTCCACTACATTTATCTGACAGCTGTATTTAGGTTAAAAAATGATACATTTCTAAAATACATTTTTGTTATGTATTAAACTATTTAAATGTTTATAAAGTAGTAAGAATTTGCTTCAGCTACACCAACTTTAATATCAAACACTGAGATTGGCTATTCTGTTCCATAAAAAGTATGGAGTTAACTCAAGATAATTTGCTAATAATAATTTTTAAAAAATGGAAATAATCAAGTAAAGTACAATACAAATAAATCCAAATTATACTTCGCACAGTAGTTGTAATATTTTGGAGTGAAAGTGGATGTTTGCTTCTGGTTCTGGTGGGGATGAATGAAGCACATTGACAAGTGTAAACAAATGGATGAACAAATCAGCAAATAGAAATCCTTAAGCTTCCTTAATCCCCCCATTAGGTGTTCATGGGCTGGTTTGGAAAGTCCCAACTTGCAGTCAGTCACTTCTCTCAACCTGATCTTAGCTCCACTCTGCACAGTATGTGTGTATTCTAGAGACCTTAGTGTTTATCCAGTAAACTCCTTATAATGACAATTTGGAATCTGATTGTTCTTTCAGAATATAAAAAAGTTATTTAAATGATGATATTTAAGGGTGCACATGTCAGTGGCTCTAGGGCAGTGGTCCAATTTCACACTGGCTTTTTACTCAAAACATAATTGTTTAATTGAACCACTGACATAAGAATTTCTCAGCAACACATACAGTATGTTTGTTCTGATGAAAGAATAGTCTTCTCATAAATTCTTCACAGGACTACAATGAATCCCATCCTAAAATGTCAACAATTTAAAACAAAAGCATTGAAAACAGTAAATTACTAACCAAAAACATGCATTCATGACACATTCAGGTAATCATTATTCAGATAATCAGTTTTTTATTGACAAGTTTCCAACAATCCATTCTAGAGTCTGTAAGGAAATATATTTCTAAACTCTTGGACAGAAAACTAAAATCTTTCTTTCTCTAATGCCCTTATAGGGGGAATCATATGGACAGATGTGTGCACTTATTTCCATTATTAGTGGTATGCATCATAAAACAGTAAAACAATTAAATATCAATATAATACTTAGTGGCTCAAACAGCTGATTGAGAAAAAAATAATCAATAGAATTTTGATAAAATACCTTAATTAGTACTTGATTATCAAGCAAATATACAAAGCATTTGCTGGTTCCAGCTTTTTAAATGAGATGATTTGCAGCTGTTCTGGATCATATCATTGTACATTTAATACAGAAGTTCAAGGTTTATCTCAATGTGACCGAGAGCCAATTTCAGGAGGCAGCACATGATTGAGGGCTGCACAGGAATCCCCATGAACTTGATTTTGTGATTGGTCTCAAATTGGAGTTTAACATAAAATTCCTTGAGCACCGAATTCACCTGGCACTTTATCTGTCCCTTAAGGTCTGAAGAAGTTAGAAATTATTAATATTTCCTGAAATCTCCTTTTCTCTTCAACCATACAACATTTTTTTCACAGTGGCTTTTTCATTAATGCTGAAATAGCTAGCATTGATGGCAGACCATAATTTCACACTCGAGATGCCATTAATTGCCATGCAACCAGAAGCTTTTTTACAAGTTGTCATTCCTAACCAGACAGACGCTCTTTAGGGGGGCGCAGTCTGATGCAGTAGCCAAGTAGTGAATGACTATTGAAATGGACTGCTGGTGATTAAAGTATAATGTATGCATTTCATGTTATGTTTGAGGGTTGACATTGGCACTTGTCAAACTATGATTTAATACCTACTGTAAGACATCACTTTGGATTCAATTCTGATGGGTATTTGTCATTATTTTTGAAATTTTATGGACAAATTAAAAATAGGTGTAACGGGTGCGTTGGAGGAAAGCACAACTTGAAAACAACTCTTACACACTTAATGCACGATGTAATGTTCTTTGATAAATTGAAACTTGTGTCCCTATTTAGTTTAGAGATTAATTTAATGTTAATGATGTAATGTTTGATAACACTGTATAAAACATGTAACATGTTTTCTCTTTAATTGACTTGTTGATGTACAAAGTGTTGTCATGGTGCCTATAAACCTGACGACGGTCGTGTAGACTGAAACGTTGTGTAAATAAATATAATACTTTTTTTTTTCCAGCTGTAACCAAGACAGTGTACAGGAATCCCTCTGTCTTGAAATGCCGTGTACTAAATAATTTCTTGAATAATCAATAAATTAAGTGATAATGAAATCTGATATGCAGCCATAATTGAATTAGCAAAAGAGCTACATTTAAAAATCAAAATATACTTTTTATATTTTTTACAGATTATATTGTTTCTCCAGGAGACTTTACCAACATCTTTGGCCTTTTGCAAGGTGCTTGACAACAGAGCACAAAGAAAATCTGTTAAAACCAAGTCTTCCACTGTTTCATCTACGAGGGCTCACACACACAGTGAATGGGCAGGGTGCCAGCGTCAGGCCGAATCGTCCGTGCATGGGAGGAGGCGGCGCTCCCTCTGGGAGTCTGAATTTGAAAGCCTGCAGTAAGCTGGTAACCGTCAGGAACAGCTCCATCTTTGCCAGCTGTTCACCCATGCACACCCTGCGCCCTGAAGGATACAAGGGATAAATCATTAGAGCCTGGTGCACAGACAATTTAAATTAATTTATAGATCAATGTTTAAGTTATTTAGCCCATATGAGTAAGGAATAGCATACCAATCCCGAATGGTATAAAACACTCTTTCCTGAGCAACTTTCTCTCGTCATCCAAGAAGCGGGCTGGGTTGAAACGGTCTGGGTCGTCCCACACGGTGGGATCTCTATGGACAGACCACAGATTGGGCAAAACAACTGTTCCCTTGGGAATAGTGTAGCCTCTGAACTCTGAAAAAAGGAAAACACATTAGAATGCCATCACCTCAGCGAATCAGATGCTTGTGAAATTATTGAGAAATAAACCAATTTCAGCTCTGTAGATCTTTATTATCCCTGACATGCAATTATCCTCTGAGACATCAGAGATCTGACTAACTGAGCATTAACAGAGGATTTGGGTGAAATATGAGGGGACACAGGGGTTGGTTAAACTTACCTGTTCTCTCAGAGGCCATGTGAGGAATAGCCAGAGGAACCACTACAGTCAATCTCTGCACCTCCATGATGGTGGCTTCAGTAAATGGCAAACTTCCCTTATCATTGAAAGATGGGTCCCGATCTCTGCCCACCACTTCATCAATCTCTGCCTGGACCATGTCTGAAATCAAAACAGTAGAAGCAAAGCAACATTAAGCACATCATTCTTGCATGATTAATGAAGCCTTCATCTAAACAAATAAGCAGGGCGCCCGTGGGTAGAGCTGGCAACCCACGTACCGAGGCTGAGTCCTTGCTGCAGCGGCCCAGGGTTCAAATCCGACCTGCGGCCCTTTGCTGCGTATCGTCCCCTCTCTCTGCCCCCCTTTCCTGTCTATCTTCAGCTGTCACTATCATAAAGGAAATAAAATCCCAACAAAATACTTACAAAAATAAACAGATCAGCAAATATTAAGTGTGACTTGTGGACGCACCTCTTGCCAGTCAAAATAAGTACCAGAAAGCGGTAGTGAAGTGCATGTTTTAATGTGTGGTTAAATCAGCATGGTTGTGAAACAAGTGGTTAAATTTATAATCGAGTCAGACATTTTGCTGTCCTAACACAAGGAAGTATTCGAGACGTGGCTTTTTTCTCGGCAAATTTCCAATTACCTCTTCCCCCAAAGAGTTTTTCATTTATGTAGGGAACTAAATCTGTGGTTCATATCAGACTAAAAACATTTCACATTCGGTTCTGCAACACAAATTTAACCTGTCAATATCTCAGCTACTCGTTTTGAAGCTTATATTTTATATTATTTAATGTAAACGTATTGAATTGACAAATTAATATAGTTGATTCAAATGTAGTATAGTGTGTTGATTTCTAAAAACTAATGTGAGCAAAACTTTTTGTGTCACATATGATTAGTTGGTTAGTACACTGTTTATTTTTTTTATTCACCAAATAAAATATCAACTGGAAATCCGCCATGGACACTCTGAGCAGAGGTTCATGTCTGGTTGGCCAATAGAAAGAGATAATTGCCTTACTTCTTTATAACTTCCTACAGAATCTGATTAGAGATGCGATCCGATGTTACAGCGGATGGTCCCAGCTCCACAGCTCCACTCTGGTGTCATTGTGGAGGTCAGTATTGAACAAGCAAACTACACATAGAGCTTCATTTAACAAAGTTACGTAAAAAGTATGCAATGGCTGGACTATAAAAGTTGCTACCTTTACCTTGGATATCAGGATGTGAGACCATGTAGAGCAGAAACCACATAACTGAGTTAGACGTGGTGTCAGTGCCAGCAATGAAGAGATCACCTATTATATAAAAGAGATAATCTTCAGTGAAGCTGCTGTCCTCCTCTCCAGCATCTTGCTTGGCCAACATCTCTATCAGGTACATGTCTGTGAGATCCCTTGGGTTGTCACGATCTAATGTTTCCCGGTGCTTCGCAATAATCCTCTTCAGAAACGCTGTGATGTCTCCTTCCACCTGCCGTAACTCCTTGAAGACCCCGAAAGGGAAGTGGTACAGCAGTGGAAAGATGTTGATCAGGACCGCAGGGCTGTTCACGCAGATCTCAAGCCCACGCACCATCAGGTCCAGCACGGTGGAGAACTCGCTGTCTTCGTGATGGAAGCGCTGACCCAGGATCAGCGAGCAGATGACGTTTGACACAGCATTGTTGATCAGTGGAGCCAGGTCCACACCAGCGCCACCGGACTCCTCATTCATCCGCAGCAGCTCCGCTTTGACGGTAGCCAGGCCTTTCAGGATGCAAGGCTCCAAGCTCAACTTCCCCAGGCCGAAGCTTCGGAGTGTGGCGTGGCAGAACTTGCGCTGCTTTCTCCACACTGGCCCGTAAGGTGCGAAGACTATTCCTAAAGTTCAATTAAAGCAGAAAGGGAATGGCATACAAGGAGAGCATTTAGATCATTCTTTTTTTTTTTTTTTAGCCCAGCTGTAGGATTTAGGGATGCTAAATAGAGCCTGTTTATAACTTACAGCTATTGACCAGTGTAAATGTGTACAGTTGACAGTATATTACATACAACTTTTAACTAATGGAGTCCATACAATGGTCCTGCAATAAATCCTACCTACATGAAAATAGTGTTCTATTTTTTGTTGAAATTGTTTCAGTATTTATTCAACTTTATGGTCATTATGATTACAACAACCAAGAACTCCTTCAATGTGTAGTATTTTATTGTAAATAATGAGTATTATATGAAGATAAACCTGAGAACCTATCCTTTATTCTTACTGTGGATATACTAAGAGGTGTTTCTAACAAATTTCCCACCCCATTTACTGTGTCAGTGAGAGTAGAGTAATGTTAAAAACATCTCTCAGAATAAAGCACTAAAATAGAGCACCACCACAAACTACAGAAGACAATAAAGTTAAATCAACACCTTTCTAAAGTTTAAACAAAAACTTAAGTTATAGCTGATTGGACTGCATTAGTAAGAGCTAGGTGTAGTCTAATAAAGTTTTAACTGTTTATGCATGTCTGTCTAATGCATGCTTTAGGTTTAACACTACACAGCAATAAGGTTAAAGATGAATGAAATGGCCCTTTAATGCACCTTACCTTTGCGTTTAGTCATGATAGTAATAGCAGGAATAATTGGCCTGTCGGAGAACACTTCGGGGTGGTTGGAGAGAGCATCCTTGACCACTTCATAGCCATTAAGCACAACGACCAACTGACTCCCTACAAAAAGGCTATAAACATTACCATACACTTCGGCTTTTTTCATTAAATTAACCGCAGCGTTTACGTCGGTGCTCTCTGCTTGTTGTCCAAACCTCCTCTGCACAAAAGTGGGGATAAAAAAGCCGCCAAAGTTCCCGACAACCGGCCACGGTTTCGGACCTGGCGGGATATTTGCGAGGTCCCGTCGTTTCTGATAAAAACGGATTAAAGAACCCACGATGAAGAACACTATCAGAGCTACAATGTTTTCATGCGACAGTACAGAGCTGCTCAGACTGTCCGGCCACGACAGCGACACCATGGTGCCAAAGTTAAAATAAAATGAATTCAGTGACAAGCCGATAATACTATCCCATTTTAGGAGTAATTATAAAATCCTTGTAAATGATAGGCCGACCCAACGACACTAACTTGCTCAAGCTCTTCCTGTGTTTTTGTGAAAACGGCTCCAGCCAACGTGGTACCGTTACTGGCTTTCTATTGGCTGAGAGCGCTTTGGTCTGCTGTGATTGGTGCACTGCGGACAGCGTGGACCACGGGATTTTGAGCCCTTTAATGTGTCTTACAGGCTACACACCAAGGCTTGCTGTTTGCCAGGAGTTGATAGGTGCTTGCAGGTCCACACCCACACAGACAAACAGAAACTCTGGCAAGAGGCAGACTGAGAGAGGGAGAGACAATTAAATAGAGAAAGAGAGCGGGGAGACTGGCACTGAAATACAAATGATTCTGTAAATGAATGAAAAGGAAAGACAAAGACAAGAGAGAACAGAAATGGTCTTTCTGAAATTATATTCAGAGCCAGGAGTCAAACCTTTGATTACAGCTTGGGAAACAGTTGGTGTAATATACAGTGTTGGGTTAGTTACTCAACAAAATTTAAAATATTACTTATTACTCTTTTTAAAAGTAATATAGTTACTTTACTTACCCTCTTCCAACAGTAATTATTACATATTATTACTGAAAGTTTAGTTCCCAGCTGTTAGTGAAGCAATGATACAGTTTAGCACAAGATCTTACACTACATTTTGCACTGTTCATCTCTTTCCCACTTTTCAAACTATTCCCTTTTAACTTTTATCAATCTCTTCAGAAATTGTCCCCTCTAGTTATGTTGCAACTAAAAATTACAGTACATGTGCATATTTGTTCAAGATAGACATAGAGGATAGAAGAAAATGACAAAAAAAGACCATATGAAATATTTAATCCAAATTTAGAAATAGATTTAATGTCAAATGTGATAGTAGCTTGTAAAGTTAATAATGAAAACTTATATAACATAATGATTACTTTGATTGATGATTAAAAAAAAAAAATACACAGACGGCTTTGTATGGTTAAATTTTAATACAATAGTACAATGTTGAGGCTACAGCTAGGATATACATGATCAAGGCTACTCAAATGAATACTTGAAGAACAACAATAACAATAATATTTATCATAATAAAAACTCATAGAAAAACAAAACAAATACACCATGACTTCGTAATGGCAGTTTTGAAACACCTACTGACGTTAAACACACTAAGGCACCTTGTGACTTGAGCACATTGATATCATGTTGAGGTAAACCCCGTCAACACACATAGTATGAAAAACTTATGGTAGCACATCTAAAATAATCTAAAACAAGTCTTGCAAATAGAGCAACAAATCTGTGAGTCAGTTGCCACTAACTGTCCGTTCATGTACGAAATACACCAGGATCTGACACAAGTATCATTTACAAAAACAACACTGGCTTTGCAGGACTTAACTCATAAATAAATTACACTGACGAAGAACACACAGAGACAATATGATTATCCTTCTAGGCACATTTTTGCGGAAACATTTCTCTCATAGCTATGCATTTGGTATCAATATGTTCCTGTCCAGTAGACAAGACTGAATGGAGGAATACCACTTCAATGGATTATCAGGCAACACTGCTGGGGGTATCAGGGTCACGTCACTCCTCTCGTGTGCTCTGTACCATGGAGTACTTCTTGCAGGGGTTCTTAAGGCAGGCAGGAGGCCAGGTTATGGGCCAACTGTAAGAACATGGCACCGAGGTTTGGACGTTCTTCTCCAGGAAGTTGAACAGTGGGTTCCACCAGGTGTTGGTGAGGTAGTTGTTGGGCGAGCATTTCAGAGTCTGTCAAGAAAATAAAAGTTGTCATTTAGAATTATATAAGTTATCATACATTTTTAAAATATATATTACTTTCCATACAAGGAAAGCAGCTCAAAGTGCTTCTGATGAAGAGGCCAAACTCTCCATGACTCTATCATAATGTGACTAAGTTGTCAGATATTTCTAGTAGCCATATCACAAGGATGAAGCATGTAGACCCTTTGTTGTTGTTACTGTCTTAGTGCCCTAGGAGTGTAAAAGTTGCATCAGAAAAGAACACACAATTTTTTCCTAATATCAAAGGAGATGTTTTTGCTTGCTGTAATCATTCTTCTTGTTCATACTGGCATTTAAAAGATCCCTTCCAACAGTCTGAGCAAAAATATATTCCAAAGTTTATCTGAAGTTAATATGAGGCTTCAGCAGTCTGAGTTAGGCTACGTTCACACTGCAGGTAAAAGTGGCCGAAATAAAGTTAGTATCTTCTGACATTAGTCTTTTAGTAAAGTTTCCATGCTGAGCTGTTGCAGAGGTATAGGAACACAAAGAGAGAATTTTGGAAGATACTCAGGCTGCAGAAATATTAGCTTCACATAAGCTTTGGACTGCATTATTGAACTGAACTGGTCTCTTCACAGGCGGTATGAACAGAAGGAATTATTGCAGTAAACATAAACTGTTTCAAGGTACGTATGGGAACCTGACAACTATTTTAAGACTTGAAAAATGTTAAATCTATCCTTTAATACCCTACCTGAACAGTATAATTTGTAAACAGTTCAACTAGTTTAAATAGACTGATTTTTCAAAATACATGGCACTCTCTTTAATAGTGGAGATAATATACAAATATTAAATATTATTCAACCATTATTATTATTATTATCTTTATTTAATTTTTTGTTTTGTTTTTCTATTCATTGCAAAGTTGTTGTGAATGTGTTTAACATGTTAACCATGAAGTTAATATTTAAATGTAACTTAAAGAGTAATTTTGCTTGATACCACCCCATATCAACTGTCTGTCTATTTTTTGGCCAGTAGAGGGGGTAATTCACCACGTTGAAAAGCCACATACTGACTATGAGGGAAGGTCATCCAGAGAATTCTGACAGTCTAAAAATACACTTTGTACTTACTGTAAATATATAATTATATGTGATATATAGACCATTTCTTTTAAACATAAACTGTAATACATTTTTGTGTTGACATGTAACTTTTAGCTGGTACACTTGAAGTAAACTCAGTGAACAAAATACAGCCATGTACATGTATCATCATACTGACAGTAAAGCCTTACATGCATAATGATTCATGTTTAACAGTGTTCACTGGGAAGGGAGACTTCAGCTCTGGAAGCTCTTTTTTACTTTCTTGCACTCCAACACACACAAACCCCCACCACCACCCAGTATTTAGCTTTGCGTTCAGACCTGTAAGTTGGCCATGGTGTGGTACCACCAGAACAGGCGGGAGGTGATGAAATAGGCGACGACCACATCCACACTGTAGTGCTCATGTGCCACCAAGATGCACACCACACCCACAGCACTCAGCAGCCAGCACATCAGATGGTACCACCAAAACGACCGTGGCGAGTCTTAAGTGAGAGGAGAGACAAGAGTGTTGATAATATTTATGACAACACCCATTTGCGGTCTGTTCTTCCATATTTCTGCTGTCAAAAAAAGGCAGTCCATAACATTTCAGTGCAATCTGACAAGAACAGAGGAATTTCCTGCAACACGCAGACATGCAGGTCTACAGTAAAGAGCATGGTAATAGGGGACACTTAACCACTTAATATCTGTCTGTAATAGCTCATCCTCACAACATATTTTTGAATTTTCAAAACCTTTTTTTATGTACCATTTATCCAGCATACACTCAGCTGCAAATTTTATCAGATTCAAATCAAATTAATGCAGTTTAATACAAAAGCTTGTAACATTCAAATTGTGTTAAAACTGTTTTACAGAAGTGTTGATTTAATTCTGCGGTCATTTGTATGTAATTTGTGGTGTTGTTGAATAGTATTTCATCACACTGAGGGATGTTTTTAATACTTTGTCTACCCTTACTGATACTGTGGGCAAAATATTAAAGACACCTCTCAGTATAACACAACATAATCCGACAGCTCCAGAAACTACAACCTTCAAAATGACAATAAAGTTGAATCAACACCTATCTAAAAAACTGTTTAAATTAAAACTGCACATTGTACAATGAAGCCACAATTTATTGCAGGGCTGTTGGATACTATTGCATTAGCTTTGGTTATGTACACCTACTGGCCTATGAGTGTAAAGTGACCTACAGTTTTACATGTTATAAAACATATCTGCAAACAAATAATACAAATAATTTGAATGTTAAAAGAAACATTGGAATAGTGGCAACACACCTCACTTATTCCCACCTCACTCACCTCACATCTCATTTATATCCTGTTGGCACCTAGACCATGTGTTCATATATTATTCAAGGGAATTTCACATAAATTATTCCATACAAGCAAACAAAACAAGTGCTGCTTTGAGTACTCACACTCCTTAATGAACAGGTAGGTGAGAGTGAGCATCACAGTGTGTCCACTGTAAAGGAAGTCTCCACACAAGAGATGAGAGCTTGTAATGGACAGACCCCCGCCTGAGACCAGTCGCAGAATTCGCTGGATTTTTGCATGGGAGTCTCCGTGGAGCTGACAGAGAAACAGGGACATAGAGATGGAGAAATAAACACTGGCTCAGCAGCAACATTAAAGCTACAACTAAAAATGATTGCCATTATCAATTAATTTGTTGGATGTTATAACAATTAATTAAAAACGACAGTTCAAAAGTCACAGATGTCAAACTTGTGATGAAGAAAAGAAACAAATGAGAATGTTATTTTACTAAATCTAACTAAAACGGCCTAATTGATTATCAAAACTGTTACAGTTCTACATTGTCTCCACCTAATCAGGATGACAAGTTTGCAAGAACTTACTGCACCCAAACAAAGAAGAATTAAAGGAAGTAAAACAGTTTAACAGAATCATCAACTACACATGATCACATCTTGCGCTTTTGTGCTTGTTGATTGAATTAGTGAGGATAACTCACTTCTTATGAATAAAATTACTGAGGATAACTCATTCTCATATTTCTTAGGAGCAGCTAAAGACTTTCATACACTGTCCAAAACATTCCAAAATCTCGAGAACTAAACAACTACTAAACAGTCTGTCCTCTGATTCTTTTGCACCGCACAACCCAGAAAACAACCGCCAGGAGCACATGCTTTTGATCAAACAGT